GTACTATAAAAGAGCTGATTTTTCACTTTTAATTGTTAATTATCTATTTTGAGATGGTGAAGTTCCCTTGTCACCATCTTATGGTGTTTACATATCTCAACTTGTTCGATTCGCTCGTGTATGTAACAACGTATTTGATAAGAACGAAATCTCTGTATCACTGAAAATTATTACACGAGGGTTTTCGATATCACAAACTAGTCAAAACATTTACTAAATTTTATCATCAGTACAAGGACATCATTCGTAAATAAAAATCGACATGCAGACATCTTATACGTTCAGGTATTTCACATCCAATCTTTTATGGTAATATTCTATACAAAGCTCAAAAATGTCCGCATTCACCTCAAAAGCTAACCAAAACCTTTAAACAGACTTATTTAGAAGGGCTATAGTTACGATACTGTTGTCAGGTCATTAAAGATGAAATATTTTGGTATAAATATTGATTCACCCATAAGGTCTTTGCATCGGAAATAAACACATTTATTCTAGAACCAGCTGTTGGCATGATACAGGTTATGTTCTTCTCATATATTTTATGATGGTATGCCATTAAACTCCTAATGGGAGGGATTGTGCTTGATTTTCATATAATGAAGACATAATCTTTCAATCAGTTTAATTGAGGTCTGGAGCTGGCATGTCAGTAACTGCTAGTAGTCCTTTGTTAATTTATGTATCATTGTCATTTTGCTTAGTTTCTTTTTTTACTATTCTGAAATCGGACTCAGACTTCTTTTAGACTGAGTTTTACTGTGCGTATTGCTGTGTGTTTGTTTATTCTACATTGGTTAAAGGTATAGGGTGAGGGTTAATATCTCACAAAACATGTTTAACCCCGCCGCATTTTTGCGCCTGTCCCAAGTCAGGAGCCTCTGTCCTTGTATGTGTTTTTAATTTTAGTTCATTTATATGTTTTGGAGTCTAGTGTGACGTCCATTTTCACTGAACTAGTACATAATTTTGTTTAGTGGTCAGCTGAAGCCGTCTCCGGGTGCGGGATTTTCTCACTGTGTTGAAGACCCATTGGTGGCCTTCGGCTGTTTTCTGCTCTTTGGTCGGGTTGTTGTCTCTTTAACACATTCCGCATTTGCATTCTCAATTTTAAGAAAAGTGAATAACAAGGTATATAATAAACAATCAAGGAGCTGTGTATTATTTAATATGCTTTTAATGATCATCTTTTATCTTATTGGTGAATACATTTTGTACATATATCCTGACCAGGTAATTCTATCAAAGATCTGTTAATGCAGAGTAAGAGTAAACAGTCAAACAGCATGATCAATAATATAAGGGCATGTATGTGAAAGGGATATACGAAAACTTTCAACAACACATATATCTTGTTTATGTTGTTCCAAGACAGTCATAGATAAAAAACAATTAGGAATAATCATTGGATGATACACTATTTGGGTCCTTATGTGCAGGTATATCTTGCTTGATTTACATGTAACGGTATATGTCGATACATATTTTCATATTTTCCCTTACACTGTGAAACAATGAGATTTACCCAAAAAACTTTGTGTTCATGTAGCAATCTGATTCGGGAAAGTTTTTAGGTATTTAATTTTGAATAATATATATCTAGCAATGGTGATATAATTTAAACCATTTTGAATAAACGAAAACATATTAATGATTATGGAGAAAGTGATTTACGCAATGAAATCTCAAAGATAAATTGTGTGAATTTAAAACGCGGATTTAAACCTAAATTATTAATTTGACGTAAAAAATCTACTTGTTTTTTATATCTTAATATAAATTCAAATTTCCTCAAGTCATGAAAAAATGAAATTTTATTTTACCGCATGATACAATTGGACATTCAATAACAGGTGCCCTGATTACGTTACGTGACTTTACATCGACGTTTTCTCATTATAACGTTAACCGCCATAAGCCTGAAAATGTTATGGCAGGTCAGATATATGCAACCAGTATCGCACAATTTGGAGTTTATGCTATTCTTCAGTTTATGATTTAATTGTATCTTCTAAATAGAAGTAAGAAATGTATTAATGTAGGTTCAATTCGACCCTGTAAGAATAAAACTAAAATCACACAAAGTACTACATTATATAGAACTAACAACGAAAGTTACTGGTGTTTTTTTTAATATCTTTACAAATTTTATGTATAATGTATCAACCGTAACGGAAGTGAAGTACGGTAAGTAACTATTCATTAACTGTTAACTTGAGAGAAAGAGAGAAAGCACCATTTGTCAGTATCATTGCACACATTTTAACTAAACATTAATAACATATTCACTGTGAAATAATTAGAAGCTTAACTTACAATTCTTCTAGTTTAACCACTATGTTTTAACAGAAAATTGGTAAAATATTTGTCCCAAAATTTGTATAGCTCAATGTATATATATATTCAATTTGCCTGTAAAATAGAAGCGATGCTGAAAGAAGGTTCGCAAGTATTTGGAAAAATTCACACTATATGAGGCAGGAGATATATTGCAATCAATAACGTTGACGTGATTCAAATGTATTAAATACGAGAAATAACTTTCTCTAGATCTGTTGGACGGTTTTAAAAGTATATGTTGAATTGTATATCATGTTATTGTTTCCTCCATCCATGACTTTTTCAAGAAGGATATTACTGAAATTTAAGATTTAGTTGAAAAAACGATATCGGTTTCCGCGGATCAATCTACCGAACAGCTTAACATTGAGTCTGTGTAGCTCAACCAGGTCTCTGTGCATCTGCATCAATGGACACTGTCTGACATTGTAGAATAGATTATAACTCGTCATAATTTTTTTTTCTTGTACGTGTATTGCTGATAATTTTTTCTGTTTACAGTTTGTCTTTGTCGTTTATATTTTTTCCCCAAAACACAAAAAGGGTCACATATGTCATTAAGTTAAAATACCTCATATAAGAAGACAACTGACAAGTTCATCTATATGCATGATGACCTATTTCAAGATCTTGTTTTGCTGATCATTTTTGCTTTTTAAAGTTTTATTATCTTTTATCTTAGATTTCAAGATGGTAGCCAAAGACGCAAACTATATGTAAACATTAGTCTGTTGTTATTTATGTATTATTGTCATTTTGTTTATTTTCTTTGGTTACATCTTCTGACATCAGACTCGGACTTCTCTTGAACTGAATTTTAATGTGCGTATTGTTATGCGTTTACTTTTCTACATTGGCTAGAGGTATAGGGGGAGGGTTGAGATCTCATAAACATGTTTAACCCCGCCGCATTTTTGCGCCTGTCCCAAGTCAGGAGCCTCTAGCCTTTGTTAGTCTTGTATTATTTTTAATTTTAGTTTCTTGTGTACAATTTGGAGTTTAGTATGGCGTTCATTATCGCTGAACTAGTATATATATTTGTTTAGGGGCCAGCTGAAGGACGCCTCCGGGTGCGGGAATTTCTCGCTGCATTGAAGACCTGTTGGTGGCCTTCTGCTGTTGTCTGTTCTGTGGTCGGGTTGTTGTCTCTTTGACACATTCCCCATTTCCATTCTCAATTTTATTGTCATTTAAAAACAATAAATCAAATAAAGAGTTGACCTTCTATTTTAACAATATCAACTTATTTGTAGACCTTGCCTAGTGAATCATTTTGTTCGCTAAAATTCATTCTATCGATTATAGTTTCAAGTTATAGGCACAAATGCAAATAAATCATAAACATCGTCATTTTAGAGCTATTACTCCCATAAGGCGTCAACTGACTATTTCCGCAAATTGACTTATTTGTAGATCTTTTCTGATTGATGAATTTTACTTTTTAATGTTTCAAAAATTGCAAATATGGACATAAAAAATGTTCTGGTATCCAATATTTATCTTCAACAAATACAAAACAAAATAGTTTAATAACAACAACATATGTTAACCTTTATCAATGAGTTCATTGATAAGGAAGTACAGAAAAATTTAAAGTACACCTATAAAGTTTGTTGCTTGCAACCTAGATTCGTCTTGAAACACGGGAAAACAATCATTCAAATTAGCCGGGAAATGATATTTGATCTATATGACGTATTTTTCAAATACAGACAGGAACCTTTCATAATAGACAGCTGCGCCAATAGTGATGATACGCACTTGTGGATATTGAAATTGATGCAAAATGAAACAGGATAGTTAGAAGGAATTTAATCAGAAGCAAATCAAATGGTTCTGTAGATAAAAACATGCATGCGGATACCGTTTGGTGTATTAATATTGTGTCAATATGAGTGTAAAAATTCCAATAACTCTTGAATGACAAACCAGATTTTTTTCAAAATCAGACGGTGGTCTACATTCACGATCTAAGCACAGTACAGATGATAAATTCAAAAAGGGGAAGTCCATGAAAACTGACAAAATCAATAAACGGAACAAGTGGAAAAAAAAACCTGCCATACTTCTTACTTTGTACATGAACGTGTTCCACATCAAGCGGTGTCATTCCATGAAGTGTTGCCGGACGGACGGACATTAGTGTACCATAATACTATGACGCGCGTATAAAATGACTATTTTAAAAAAATGTGATCGATCTGAATATGCTTGGCATATTTAATCCTGGGCGTTTATCTATCAAGCAAGCAAGCTAGCAAGCAAGTATATTACTGTTTTGTATTATTAATATGCGTTACACACTTGATGTAACTTTGATAACAACTTTAGGCAAAGTTGACCTTAGATGAATTTTGGTTATTTTTTATGTCCTTTTTTGTCATATAGCCTATCAACTGTTTCGGTTCTTAAAATCCTTGGCTTTCAAATATTCGGCTTTGAGTGTTCCTGATGAAGGTAAATCAAGAAAAGCGCTTCGGACGCCTGAAATTTATAATGTGTTGTTTTCCTTTTTTTATTAGATAAAAGAATATATATTAAAGGTCAATCAATGAATAATTAATTGATTAATTGTTCACCAAAATAAATAGTGATGAAATGCAAAGGAGGTTTAATATGAATGATGCATATTCGAAGTAAAAGAAAAAACAAGAAATAAGTATACTACTTTTGTTTTACTATACGACAAATATAACAACAATAAGCAAATAGTTAAAATATATTACAACAAATGTTGTCCCTCCTACTTTGTACGATTGTAAACCACTTCTGTTACATGGAACTTTGTCAATAATATGATTGGTACGATGTACAAACGACCAAGGTAATCATATTAAACACTTTATGACAGTAACTATTTATTATGTTATAGGCATCGATCATTCGTCGTTTATATGGGCATGCGTTTTGTTTTACAAAAATATGCTTTCAACAACAATTGAACGGTAGGTGACTTAATATCAAACTTCATGATTTGCAAGCAATAAATCTCCAATTGACTTATTTGCGTTTGTCCCTGCTATCTGTATTTAATATTTATCTGTCATAACCTGTATAATGCAACGATACCTTTTCTCCCGACTTTTCAGTTATTCTTGGGTAGATCTGTATTTCAGTATGAATTACTAATTTCTGCGATTACAGAAAAAAGCTTCATACAAATTATGTTAACAAAATTCCTAATGCGAGTTTTAATTTTGCAAATCTATCCCCTCGCAACTTTCGCAATAATAAAACATTGCCAAATTTTCTGAACTTACATTATAAACAAATCCGTATGAACAACATTCACATTGGAAACTACATTGGTGGTTACTTCTTGTTCACCCTTATTGGACATATGAAGTGTCGTAATCTCTTTCTTATCAGCCCTATTCCCGTTAGCACCCGCTTTCAATAACAATGTAGCGATATCGTTGTGTCCATGTTTACAAGCAGTATCCAGCGGTGTCATTCCATCCTTATCTTTCACATTCACATAAGCAATCGAATTTAAAAACACTTTAACGATTGCTTCATTTCCTTCAATACAAGACATATGGAGTGGTGTTACTCCATTCGTATCCCCCTTATTCACATTAACACCGGCATTTATTAACATAGTAACGATTTCTTCCTGTCCGCCTTTACAAGCTGCATGAAGCGGAGTCATTCCATCCTTATCCACCTCATTCACATGAGCACCCGCATTTAACAACGTCCTAACGGTTGCTTCACTTCCTTCTGTACAAGCCATGTGAAGTGGTGGCGTCGAATGTTTATCACTCTTATTCACATTAACTTTGGCATTTAACAATAATGAAAGGATTTCATTTTGTCCGCCTTTACGAGCCATGTCAAGTGGTGTGATACCATTCTTATCATTCTTATTCACATCAGCACCGGCATTTATCAACAATTTAACGATTTCTTCTCTTTGAGCTTTACAAGCCAATTGAATTGGTGTAATCCCATAAGTATCACCCTGGTTCACATTAGCACCAGCATTTAATAAAACTTTCACTGTTTCTTCATTTCTCTCGTTATCATCCACGTGAAGAGGTGTTTCATCATTCTGATTGCCCGTGGTTATGGAAGCGCCATTTTCTATTATTTTACCCTTAACAATATGATAACCTTTTGAACAAGCAATAAATAAAGGTGTTTGAAAATTTGTATCAGGGTCGTTCACCAATGCACCATGTTTAATAAGTAGCAAAACAATGTCCGTACTGTTATTCCTATATGCTACATGTAATGGTGTCAGCAGAGCTTTATTTTTACAATTAACATCTGCCTTATATTCTAATAAAAGCTTAATAATCTCCATGTGTTTCTTTTCACAAGCTATCAAAATAGGTGTATTTCGAACTAAATTGCGTTTATTTGCATTTGCTCTATTGACTAATAACAGTTCTGCTATTTTACAATGACCATTTCTGCAAGCAGTATGCAACGACGTCTCTCCTTTTAAATCTTCCATATCAATAATCGCCCTGTGTAGGATTAACATTGTAGCAATCTCGATAGACCCTTTCTGACATGCTAAATGAAGAGGTGAATATCCGTTATAATCCCGTTGATTAACGTCTGCGTTTTTTTTCAAAAGTAATTCAGCTATCTTAAAATTACTTTTACTGCAAGCAACATGAAGAGGAGATCTAAAATCACTCGTTTTCTGACGAATTGTTGCATGTCGAGACAACAGCAAATCTACCATATCACTTAAGCCGCAATCACATGCAATATCAAGAGCTGTTTTACTGTCATTATCAGATTGATCAATATATATACCCTTATCCAATAACAAGCTGGCTACATGTAGATGTCCTTTCATACATGTTTTATGCAACGCAGTCTGTTCAAACTTATCTAGTTCTTTTACCATTTGTTTATCTAGGTCAAGGAAATATTCAACATAATCCGTATACCCTTCTGCTGAAACAAGATGAAGGACTGTAGTTCTATCAATGCCTTTTCTCAGATCCTCTTTTTTTAAATGTTTTTTCATGTATGCAATATACGATTGTCTAAACTCAGCTGATAAATGTTGACTTCCTATAAATATATTATATAAAGCTGTTTTCATGTCCAACAACATTCTTTTTAAGTAACTAGCATGTAATGAATTCGGAATTATAATTGTGAACTTAGGATAGTGGCTACATGATGTTTTCAGTTGCATTTTGTCGATTATAAATGCCGTTGTTCCATAAAGAAGAATACTGTGTATTATTTTAGGGCCTATGCAAAATGCCAAAGCATTAAATAAATTAACATGAAGGCACGCGAAAGAGGATTCTTGATCTGATACATATGAATCAGTCAGAGCAGTAAAGCTCGAATATAATTTTGTTTTTGATTTGTATCTTTTGTAATCTATTTCTTTTGATATACACTTAAACAGTCTATCATATGTTGGGTTATCATCATTAAAAATGTTTTTTTTAACGTCGTTATCAAAAACAATTAAAACAGCCAATGCCAGGCAAAACAGATCTGGTGTTTCTAAAAAATTTTCAATTTCAGTCTTTATATACTGAACAGGATTACTGAAATAGTCAACAATATTTTCCTTCGAGTAAATATTGAAAATTCCACAAAGCATTGGAAAAAAACTGTATGTTGAAACTACGTCTTCACTAAGGTTATCAATCATATCGTCCTGTAGATAACATCTTCCTATCATTTGTCTCTCCTCAAATGTCAATGCTACTTCTTTTGATATAAGATTTAATAGACAAAATCTAACTTTCATCTGTTGTCTTTTTACTGACCGGTAAATACTTAATCTCGAAGTCATCAAGAGCCTCAAATTGATGTTTCTTTTCAGGAGGTGATTAATGGATTCATCCTGACGAATCCACCACATCGTATCGTAGGTGCTTACATAATACTTTCCAAATGCATCATCTATTAGAAATATCTGCTTTTTGTCTTCCGATGCATACCTTAAAAGATCATCTGGATTAGAAATGATCATGAAATCGAATCCCAATGTTTCCTCGAGTTTCAACGCGGTATGAAATGCTAAAGAAGATTTCCCGCATCCAAAAGGTCCAGAAATAATAAAACACTGCTCTTGTTTTAATCTTTCAAAAATGGCCCTTGAAGCTCTTGTTTCCACAAAACGATTAAACTGTTTTTTCCATTTTTTTTTAGCATGTTGTTGCAAATCTGAAATATAATATCAACATGTAAGCAAATTAAATACAAATGTATTGTGAAGAGTATCCAAATGTGACCGCCAAGCTATCGTTTGTGTAAAGCCGAATCAGACAACCAAATCTAATTTTAGACTTGCAGTTAGGCAATGTTTGTCTCAAATAACATGTTTATATCCTATATTAATTGCATATATATTTACAAAATTCAAGTCTTTGTCAATGAAACCAAAGCTAAAACTATGTCAGAACCAATAACAAATAAACGCCGCTCATATGCAAGAACGAAAGGAAACAAAACATAAACGATCATAAACCTACATATCGTATGAACAAAGGACGGATATATAGTTTATGCCAGCAAAAAATTCCTATCCCGAGAAGCACAATACCCGAGTCCCATATATTGAATGTACATGTAATATCTTATTAATTTGCATGTACGGATTGTTATATACACTTAAAGAGCTGCATTGATGATGTGCGTACGTTGTGCTAATGACAAGTAAATAATTTCATTCGAAGAACCTTATACTTTAAGAATATTACAGTCAATTGACAGTCAATTATCTGCACAATATGTGTATTGTATTTAGTTCGCACAAGACCAATTGTTTAGACAGCCATCTGTCTTTTTTTAAATTAACACACGACTAAAGAGCCTAGGTATACGTGCATCTTCAACAAAGGACACTTTCCAAAATTGTAGATTAGAATGACAAAATCTTTTTTTTATCTTGTATTGCTAATAATTTTTTGTATTTTTTTTTCTATTTTGTTTAGTTTTTGCCCAAAACACAAAACAGGGCTAACAAAAAAATTAGGAGTCGTTTGGCGATTTCTGTCATGTTGACTTATTTGTAGATCTAGTCTATCTATCTATCTGTTCTTAATTATTGTTTTAAAGATATAAGCCAAAAAAATATTGTAAAAGTTAATACTATTAAATGCATTTAGTCGTCTGAAACGGTAATTAAATATGAAAAAATTAAACAATAAATCATTCAGTCAAGTTCAGTTTTTCTAACAATTGTCAGACTTATCAACTGCAGTTAATTCAATAATATTCAGACAATTTTCCTGCAGGTAATTCCGTATTGTTCAGTTGTTTTTCAGTATGATTTTGATGTGCACAGGTAAAAACAACTACTGAAGTGACCATGATTGACTGCGAACAGATTGTGTGAACAGTATTGAATTTAACGCAGTGGATAAATATGAAAATGTACTGAAATACTGACAATGATTTAATAATTTATTGTTCAGTCCATTAAGAGCTGTTAAGATCAAAATATTAATGACCGTTTCAGATCAAAATTCATTTACTAGTGTAACGTGCGAAGACGACGGACACCATGTGATTAGTAAAGCTCACTTGGTCCCTTGAGCCAGGCGAGCTTAAAACACTATATACATAAAAGTCATTTATTAATACAATACCGAAACATTTAAACATTTGTGTGTCTAAATTTTGATCTAGGTTGATCTTTTTATCATAATGAGCATCTGTCCCAATCATTATAAAAATAAGGAGATGTGGTATGATTCCAATTGAAACAACCATCAACAGAGATCAAATGACGTTGATGTAAGCATTGGTAGGTCACCGTATGGCCCTGAACAGGAAGAAATATTCTAAAAATTCGATGAAGTTTTGTAAAACTATTATTGTCTGAAAAACTTTAACAATAGACCTATCTAAATGTGAACTGCAAAAATAAAATAATTCCATTTGATATTGATATACATGTACATAAAAATGAAAAAAAAAGAAAGATATTTTAAAAATGTGTGCGTTTGATACTTTCGTTTGATCTTCTACCCAAAATTAATAATTTTTAATGAACGCCCAAAATGTTGAATTTTACACAAGAACAAATTTAACAACAGACTAGTACTGAACATAC